ATTACAGGTATCAAAAAGTTTTTGGACTACATATTTGCATTTTTTTGTAAATGCGCAATATATATCTAGAAGAATAAACAACTATTAATAGTGGCTGTAGGGAAGAAATACTTTCATTGTATACCCTTTTATACCTTTTGATTTTTTTAAACCATGCGATTGTGTAACCTATGTAAAAAAAATACATTTAAAAATTATGAATAGGAGGCCGGCCGAGTGGCACGATGGTTAAGAACTGGCTTGGGACACCAGAGGGCCCCGGTTCGGATCCCACATATGAGGGCCAGCGACACTGCCCTCCACAGCTAAGATGCTGAACAACAGCTCAACCTGGAGCTGGGCTGCCATGAGTCACCCGCAATGGCGTAGACTGCAGCCCCTGTGGCAGTGGGTTGCCATAGGCTACCGTATGTAGCCAGCAGCCAGTGTGAGCGGACAGCAGCCGCAGTGAGAGGCCGTCCAGAAGCCGGCGACTGGTGTGCCTCGCCAGGGAAGAGCGCAATGATGGTGCCAACTTGGGCCAGTGAAGCAACGTCCTCCACAACTAGACTGAAGAACAAAAGGACAGCAACTTGTCTGTTCCCCTTCCCCCAATTCCCCAGCACTCTTCCCATCCCCCCAATTCGCCAATAAAAATCTTAAAAAAAAAAATTATGAATAGTATGAATTTAAAAGTAAGAAAACCCTTACACCACAGCAAGGGTTAGACAGGATCCTATAAAGGACTTTTCAAAAAGTCATCTTCCTCAAAAATATTTTTCCCACTAGCCACCATGACTTAAATCCCCTAGTTAAAATGCAAACAAATATTCTGAAGACAGTAAGTATATTATGCCATTATCCATGATCAAATTATTGAGGATTAGTTTATCACATTAGCATAATAAAGGGAAGTCACAAAGATGCTGTGTATAGCCTCCCTAATTGCTATTTCTTTCCTTTTTCCCTCAATTAACTAAATTCAGTTTCTTTTACTCAAAGAACTTTTGTATTAGTAAAAGAACTCATTTAGGGATTCTAGAAGGCCTGCCCAAGCCAACTGGCACCATGGATTGCTGTGTGAACGTTTTTACTGTCTCTATAAACATCTGCCCTCCCAGTCTTCTCTATCAGTCGGATCTACTCAGCTTCTAAGAGGGCTGGCACAGGGAGTAACTTGTTCATCTTTGAATCCTCCCAGCACTGAAAACATTGCCATGCGCTTACAGAAAGCAATTTTCCAAGCTCTCAGTGACACCTATTGCAAGGCTCTGACCCTTCTCTAGGAAACTGGTTGAAATTTCAAATCTGAAAATGTCAATGGGATACTTAAATTTGTTCTCAACTGAAACACTCATTCAGGCAAAATCCATCTACTGAGAGCTTACTATGTGCCTGGCAGTGGCACTCAGCAATGAGGCAAAAAATGATCTGACAAGATTAGGATAACAGATATGTAGCAGATATTTAGTAAATGCTTATTAATTAGATTTGATGAACTCCTTGAACTTGTCTGCCTAAACTGTGAAGTCTTTCATTACTCTTTTCTTTAGATGGCAGTAGACTTCAGTTTCTCATATGCTACTAGCACTTGACTTTGGTGGACTTTCTTTTATCAGCCCTCCAATCCTCATTAATTAATTGCTTACTTATTTTTGAACTTATGGGACATAAATCAAGAATTATCTAATAAAACACAATGTAACAGAAAAGAAAAAATCCATAGACTATGTGAAAAATTTACAGTTAAAAAAGCTATTCCTTCTTACCATCCTATCATCAAAATGTAAGAAATAATTTTCCCTTTTCCATTATATGAAGATGCACTTTGTAATGCTGGTCCAGTAATAAAAATAAGTTTTCTAAGCTATTGCTTCACTTTTGCCGTATTTCTCTTGCTGTTGCCTAAAGTCAGGTAACTGTGGCTCATGAATCGGAGGCTCTTGGTCCAGGTGCGTTAACTGGCCTGACACAAGACCAAGCCACAAGCCTGGACTATGACAGCTTACTCAGCAAAGCTGAACAGCTATCATATGAGGAGAAGGCCAGCCCCAGAGCATCACAGCTCCAGTCTTCTGGCCTAAAACCAAACCTAAGTTTTCCTAAAGTGAGGCCCAGATATCAACAGTCAAGTCTTGAGCATCAACCTTCCTGACCTTACACAAAAGTTTCCTTAGTACCTGAAAACACCACTGGATATTCTTTCTACCTGACATAAAAGTTATTTTTACAATTTTAATCAGTAGTGATTCCCACTCAAGTAAAATCAAAATCTTTGCTCATCAGAGACACCTAAGAGATACTAGATTAACGGGGGGGGGG